CACAAGAAGTGCAGCAATGACCACAGGCCGCACCTGACACATTCCAGTTCTACCCACAGGCAAAAATATTACCTCTCTCACACCCAGTACCAAAATAAGATTCTATAAATAAGCATAAAATATTCAAAAATTTGTCTTTTTCAAGGGTTAAAAACTGATGTATTTGATGTATAAAATAATTAGGCTTGCATCTACAGTAGAACAAGAAAGGAGACACCGTCGGGACCAAACAAATGTGTCCCCTAAAGGACATAAACACTAACAAATATCACAACTCTAGGAATAAAATAAGCACCATTAGTAGCTCAACGACAGGCCTATCATGTGTAAATAAATACCGTGAAACGATGAGTGACATTGATTGTGGAGGATCTTAACTGTATACAATAAAAATAAAACACTTGGTGGGGTTTGTACTATGACGTCATAGTCCATCCTACGGCTAATGCTCGCGATACTTTGTTGGGTTCGCTCGTATAGTCAACCGCCTTTCTCGGTTATTATTGTCACAATACATATACACATATAATTTATTCACTTATTCATTCACTTATATATATATAATATATGTATATATATTATATATATGTATGTATATATATATAATATATATATAATAAATATAATTTGAATATTATGTCATATGATTTACCAGCTGCTACCTATAAGCTATTAGCATTAAAAAATAAAGAAAATGAAACGGTGAATGACATCTTATTTATTTATATTTATTTCTATATAATAGTAACAGTGCTCGAATAAGAACAAGATGTTATAATCATATAAATCATAGCCCTTCAACTAAAAGTTCCTTTATTCATCATACCCTTTAGGCCACGGAGACATCGAGTACACACGTACATCTAGCCCTTCCCCCCAACTCCAGAATTGTTTTCCTCTCATACAACTTATTCACACTTACTCGCACTTTATCCCTGACCGCACTTTGCAACTAGCCTTCACAATGAGCCTGGGTGGGTGGTCAATCTATGTTTATGTACAATACCATGAACACTCTAACGATATTTTCCATTAAATTCCTGCAGGCTCTCATTGATAGCTTGTTGACGCTGATTGGTCGAGTCGAATAGTGGATTCTTCCCATTTATACAGTTTTGCGATTGCAGTTCAAACGGAGTAGTGATAGTGTAGTAATTTTATGGAAACCAGGCTTAATCAGACTGTGAAACGTACGCATTATTAATTTAATATTTCGCTGTGTATTTAAAGAAAACCACCAGGAATTCCCGATGTTTTTAAGCCTAAAGACATTAAAACAGGTGAAAACTTACAGTAAATGTACGTACGTTCCCATATGGTTGTACCGCCAGAATTATTATTAGTATATGGAAATCTCGAACTTCTTCACAATTTTGTAAATTATGCGTTCAATATCTACAGGCAATAATATTTTCATTGGCATCATAATACTTATGTTGTATTATGTTAATGTCATAGCTCTATGGTCATCTTATATGCCAAGTTGCCATTGTGCATGTGTTAATGTGTGAGGAGTTGGGGGTTAATGAACACGATATGTGTATAATAACATTGTATAGTTGTTTATGCCTATATAATAATTTAGAACATAAGGCCTGTTATGTCTTTTATGTTGATGTGGGGGTGTGTGATATCACATGCTATTTGTAGGCATACCATTCAGCCAAGTCTGCACTGCTAATGACCTACATTTGCTGCATGATTTGATTTATATTAGTCCATATATTTTAATTTCATATATACATTTTCTGTGAAATAATATATATATATATATATATATATATATATACATATATATATATAATAA